TTTTGGCTGAGTTTTCTGAATTAAGTGACCAAAACGAAGGTGTAATTTATAGCTTAACATCATTGTTTCGTACAATCTGAGGTTCTTTGCTGTAGACCGCTGTTGCAATTTGCCGTTTTTCGTATGTCTTATTCATGTTTGTGGCTTAGTATAGGGTTGTTTTCAATTGCTTTCAAAGAGCGCCTGGTGGGCGAAGGTAGAATAAAATTTGCTGAATTTCCAGGACTGAAACAGAATTTACAGTAGGTAAGACGTGACTGGGTCTTTCTCAGTACACGTTAAATAAAATGGGACGTTTGGACAACACGGTTTTGATGCTGACTGAAGTTTACTGTCGACTATCGCGCCTGCGGTCTCCGCTTTGAATCTGTGTAACTGGACGGTGGTCATTTGCATCATGATGTCCAGTTCGTACACTTTGACTACCTGGATATCAAATACTTGATCTGATTCCTTTATGCATCGGTTGTGAGTTCTGTGTGCAGGATATGAAACTTAACGATGTCACACTTTTAGTTGGTGATTACTTGAACGCTTTAAATCAACTCGAATCACGTCGTGCGTTGTTTAAACTTATGGAATTTTCAGAAGCCTGTCGCTATCCTGCTTGCTGCTTATTTCATCATGGTGCGTATCAAAGCAGGTCTCTGACGGTCATATGTAAATTGGGCCACAATGGCGAATTTGTGTATGGGGTTAGGCTGACCATGATATAAATTCAGACTCGCGACCGCGTGCCTACGCATTGACTTAATATCCTCGCAGAATTACTACGATATAATGTAATATGAAATTCACAAGTTGAAAGTTCATATCGTGTTCCACTGACAGCGAGTGTTCCATTGATATGTGACATAAGGAGTTAAATAGTTTATGATAATTTATATAGATGACCACTGGTTAGTTGTACTAATTCAGATCAGCGACCGCGACACTGAACATTGACAACAACCATCGATCGGCGTCAAGACGGCACGTTGCGCATTATGAACACACCTGTGTAACAAATTCCGTAATTACGTAAACAAATTCCATAAAGTTTTCACATGTCATGGGGTTCGCACAGAATGGTTTCGAATAAATATGGCCAAATAATCTTCTGTCACTTGTTTTTCACTCATGAATCATGAATTTTTCATTCTTGCAATTGCAGCAAGCTTCAATGAATTGTGCCTCTGCGTAAACACGGTTTTACGCTTGAACTGAATTTCAGAATTGTGAACAGCTTTTTGAACCCCGTCTTACGCATATCTTAAGAATTTACTGCATTTAACTAACATTAAAAATGGAGTCATATCGATAGCAGTTCGCTGCTAAAATGAAAGATGAATCAGCTGTACCCTATGATAATCAGAAATTAGGATTCAC